TTTGCTTAATCTTGCTATTTCCACTATTTGTCAATTATCTTTTCTCTTTTAATCCATTTAACATCTCTTAGCTTTTGTTTTTTCTTTTTCAAATTTATCTGTTACAACATTAACTTAGCTTTCAAGAGAATAGCTTGTTATTGACTACTATATAACACTAAAACTTGTTTTAGTAACAACTTTGTATGTAAACATTTTTAATACAGTAATTTTCCCAAGCTCCGCTTTTACTTTAGACTGCCTCCAGCTACATTTTCATCTCCATATTAGGTTATTCTTGCATTTCTTTAAAGAAATACCTGAGGCTGGGTAATTTATAAAGAAAAAGGTTTAATTGACTGAAATTCTTCAAGTTATACAGGAAGAATGATGCTGGCATCCGCTTGTCTTCCGGGGAGGCCTCAGACAACTTACAATTATAATGAAAGCAAATAGGAGCAAGGTGTCTCACATGGTGAGAGCAGAAGCACAGGCTGGGGGAGGTGCCACACACTGTTAAACAACCAGATCTCATGAGAACTCACCATCACTAACGACACCTCCAAGCAGCATGCTCTTAAACCATGAGAACTTCCCCCATGATCCAATCACCTCCCACCCAGCCCCACCTTTAACATTGGAGGGTACAATTGAACATAAATTTTTGGTGGGCGCACACATCTGAACCACATTCTTCTTCCCCTTGCCACTCCCACATCTCATGTCCTTTCACATTCCAAAATACAATCATATCTTTCTAGCAATCTCCCCCAAAGTCTTAACTCAGTACAACAATAACTCAAAAGTCTGAAGTCCAAAGTCTTATCTGAGACAATGCTACTCTATAAGCTTATAAAGTCAAATTTAAATTAAAAAAAAAATTAGCTACTTCCAAGATACAGTGGGAGTATAGGCATTGGATAAATACTCTCATTCCAAAGGGGAGAAATCAGCCAAAAGGAACAAGCTACAGGCTCATGCAAGTCCAAAATCCAGCTGGGCAGCCATTAAATCCTAAAGCTACAATATAATCACCTTTGACTTCATGTCCCACACACAGGGCACATTGATGCAAAAGGTAGGCTCCCAAAGGCTTCGGAAGTTCTACTCCTGTGATTTTTCAGGGTTCAGCCACCAAAGCTGTTCTCACAGGCTGGCATTGAGTGTTTGTGACTTTTCCAGGCACAGGATGTGTGTTAGTCCACTCTGGCTTTTCTATAAAGGATTATCTGAGACTTGGTAATTTACAAGGGAAGAGGCTTTATTAGATTGTGGTTCTGTAGGCTGTTCAGAAAGCATGGTGGCATCAGCTTCTGGGGAGGCCTCAGAATACTTAAAATCATGGCAAAAGGTGAAGAGGAAGCAGACACATCTGTCTGCAGCCCGAGGAAAAGAGAGAGGGAGGAGGTGCTACACAGCTTTAAAGAAAGATCTCATGGGAACTCTATCACAAAAACGGCACTAGGGGGATGGTACTAAATGATACTTGAGAAATTGCCCCTATGATCCAATCACCTCCCACCAGGCCCCACCGCCAACACTGGGAATTGCAACTGAACATTAGATTTGGATGGGGACACAGATTCAAACCATATCAATCTTCTACTGCACGTCTATCTAATCTTAAATCTACTATTTTGCCTCAAACATGTTTCCTTGACTTTTAAAGACAGTACTTGAAATTTACCTGTGTTTCTTTGACTTTTATGGATGCTGGTTAAAATTTACTTCTGTTCTATGCAGTATATATTGTTTCAACAGGTGATATTATTTATCTTTTGTATGTGTCTTACTTCCTCTGCGCCACAAAAAAATTACCCTGTTCCTTTCTCTTAATTTATTTTTTGCATCTATATTTTTCTCTTTACCATTAAAGAATTGGGAGTTCTCTTTTAGTCTGATATTTCAGAAATAAGAAATACTTCAGAAATAAGAAATACTTCAGAAATAAGATTTTTTTTTTTTTTTTTTTTTTTTTTTTTTTTTAGAATTTTCTCATTTTGAACTGGTATCTGTTTACAGACCATTTTTAGGGCCAACTATAAAACTTGTTAACAATGTAGTCACTGAGCTGGTTATTTGCCTATAGGCACTTAGCTCTGTTCTAACATTTTGTAATTTCCCTTCCCTGAAGGAAGCTGGAAGCCTAAAAACTTTATTTTGACTGATCCTTTAGCATCTTGGTTATTTAGATTCTGCCAGTGGGGGATAATAATGAATTGGAAGGTGGGAGTAAGAAAGGAGTCTTTTATTCTCTGTATATTGCGGTGCCTCTCGAAGGGGGAAGATGGAGATTGAAATATCTGTGATGGTTTCAGTGTTTCTGAATGCACACTGACTGAGCTCTCCAGTGCAATCAGAAGTAGCCCATGTATTACACAATGTACTCATCATTCCTACCATTATAATCAAGCAAAATAGCTCATTTCAGGCTCACATACTTGCCTTTAATTTAATCCAGTTGATGTACAGTTTTGCATTTGCTGACATGAAACAGAAATAGCCCATTATTCACTGGCAAAAAAGTCGCAACTTTCAAATGACAAATAGATTAACAAATTCACATTCTGATCCTTGAAAGCCTATTTCTGAGTTCACTTCTTTAACAAATACCAAAGCAGCCAAAGTGTAGTTGGGAAATAAAAGCCTCTCTAGTGATATCAAACAGATGGGAATATAAAGAAATAAATTGATGGCAGAGAGTTCTACAGAGTTAAAGGAGGGGGTTTTCTGGAGAAGTGACTGGAGATTATGAAGGGGATGGTGAGTAGCTGTTGGAGAGTGTTATGGTCCCTTGCCTTCGTCCATAAGGTCACACTTACCCCCAACAAGCTGAGGGTGATGTCACTGCCTTTTCTTCTGTTGCTATTGCTGCTTCATATGAACTAAGCTGCCCTCTCTGCTCCAGATACTCTTGACATCACCACTGACTCTGCTGAAGCCACTGTAACAGTCGCTGTGTAGACAACACATGAAGCAACAAAATGACTTTTTCCTTCCTCTTGCCAGTGCACTCATTGTAAAAGCTGTCTCCTGGTAAGCTGCCCTGAAAGTCTGTCCCTTGGAGTTAACAAAAATACAATTTGCAGGCTATTAGTCCCTTAGAAATACAGAGGAAGGGATGGAATGACAATAGGAACTAAGAGACAAAAATAAATAAATAAATGTTATGCACAGGAGTTTGCATGATTTAGTACTTTGGCAATCCTGGTAGGAAAAATTCATCTTTACATAGATTATCCTATTTGGGACAAATATACTGAATTACCTTCTAAACCCAGTGTTAATATGTCTCTTTCTAGAGAAGGAAGAGCCTTGATTCTTAAGATCATTTTGTCGACTAAAATAATCATTAAGACAGCAAAGAACTTTACTGCCAAGTAAAAACTTTCTCTGAGGCTACTACTATCTCCACCAAAAGCTGCCTATGTTAGGTACAACTCTACAGTCATCTGAATTTTCAGGTCCAATCCTGATTATTAAACATTTCCTGCATCAAAGAAGAATGTCAAAAACTGCTCCCTGCTACTACAGGCTTTCTGTTAGGAACAGGAAGATGTCACTACTAGACCTGTACACTACTACAGGCTTTCTGTCAGGAAATCTGGAGCGTTGACATTACCGTTGCTATGACATCTGCTAATCTGTAGTAACGAAAGGCATTCTAGTTAAAATACTTGTTTGGAATCTCACAGCCTGTCCCTGTCAGCCATTTTCCTGTCAAGGCAATTCGTGGGATATAGACTCTCTTCTGGTTTATTTGGGAGGAAAGACATGTCCTTATTTCAAAGGAAAGTTTTGAGATCTAGGCTGGTGCATCCTTTAATTTCAATCTATTTCTGCTGTGTGTAGTAGGAAACACAGAATTCTGAACTAAGATGGTTCTTTTGCCTTGCTTTCAATTCTAACGAACAGTTTTCCCTGTTTTATATTTCCTGTGCCATTCAGGAGGAAAAAAAAGATACATCAGTTTTCTATTGCTGCTCTAACAAATTACCACAAACTTAGTTGCTTAAGTGATACAAATGTATTCCTCTGACATTTCTGTGGGTTGGAGGGCCAAGGGATTCACTGAACTAAAATCAAGGTGTCTGAAGAACTTCATTCCTTTCAGGAAGTTTTAGAGGAGAATCTATTTTCTTGTCAGCTGCTAGAATCTGCCCTCACTTTCAAGTTCATGGCTCTTTTGCCCCATCTTCAAAGATGCCAAATGCAAGTCAACTCCTCATATTGTATCACTTTTACTCCTCTCTCTGTCTCTCTCTCTCTCTCTCTCTCTCTCTCTCTCTCTGTCTCTCTCTCTCTCTTCCCCTTTCTCTTACCATAACTGAGAAGGTTTCTATACTTTTAAGGACTCACGTGATTATATTTGCCCACCACAATAATCTCCCAAGGTCTAGGATGCCAATCAGATTTGTAAAGTTTTTTTTGGCCATGGAAGATACCATATTCACAAATCTCAGGAATTAGGGCATGGACATTTTGGGGGAGCCGTTATTCTGCCTATTACAAAAGAGTATTATTTCTTACTCCTACTATCTTTTCTTCTTTCCTTCCTTTCTTCCTTTCTTCTGTCCTTCCTTCTAGAATGACATTTTTCACTACAACTTCCTAATATATTGCAAAGAATTTGAGTACAAAAATCTGTCTTAATTTTGTATAACCCTGGGAGCTAGTACAGTGTCTTGGCAGTGAAATATAGTCAAAACAACTATCGCTAATTTATCTTAAAATATTTTTCTTACACCTACTCAGGGCTGGCAATTGTGCAATGTAGTAAGGACAGAAAAGTAAGCAAAGTACAGATGTTTGTGGATCTTAGGGAATAGAGATAGTAAACACAACTTTTAAGTGTCAGAGTGCAAGAGAGCCAGCACTACCTAACTGCTAAACAGCCTCTCTAATTTTCTCCTTCACAAAATAAAAACAACCCAATAATATCTACCTTCAGGGTTTTTTTTGTGAAGAATAAAGAGGCTAAAACATCACAAAATATTTTACAAACTATAATGTCCTACATATTGACCAAACAAAAAAAGTGTTATCGTGTCTGAAGGCACCAAATGTTACTTCAATTGTTGAATTAAATTTTCACTAAAACTCGAGGAACTGCCGTGCTATGGGATGGCAATATTTTAAATTTATACCAGAATGGAAGCACTGCCTTTACTGCAATCTTTTGATTTAGGCTTTAAAGAATGGTCATTAATCTCCTCTATGCTGATGTGATTTAGAAGGCAGTGTGTTAGTTTTTCCCAGCTAGCATTTGGATTAATACCATTCTGGCATTTCTTTGTGTAGGATAATTCAAGGGACAGCCATACCGCAGAGATGGTTATTTTATATTGCTCTGTCCAGATTACTTTATCTACTTGTAGGTACTAGAGTCCAATCATTCCTGCCTAGAAATTGAGGAAGGGACAAGATTTATTTTCTCAAGAATTTTTCTAAGAATCTAACACACACACATAAAACACTGCACTAAATGTTGGTAATACGAATATACATACAATCATGTCTCTCCTCTTGTTCACTGTTTACTGTAAAATACATAAAGTAAACTGATTGTCCTGAAGAATGTGAAGAGTCTTATGAAAACAACAGTAAATCTGTTTTATATACAATACGTTTTCAAGATTTTGTAATTTCTTCCAACATCCTGGAAAATTAGTGCAATTTTCATGCCCAATAGAAAATCTTGAAAAAAAAAAAATGGCACCATTTCCTCTTCCCTGGGCAACAGATCTGGGAAAAAAAAAAAAAAAAGACAAGTAAATGGGAAGTTTTGCATCCCTCTCTTTCACTTGCTAGAAGAGACTCACAGAACTCAGAAGGAAAACAGCAATAAGAAAACAAGATTTGAGCAGGGAAGAAGTGAGGTAAGGATGTAAAGAAAAAAGAGACCCAACAATCTTTCTCAACTGAATAGCAATTTCAGTTTCTATTGCAGGTCCTTAAGAAAAGAAATGAATTTCAGTTTTAAGGAGTACATTTCTGTTTGTTCTGGGTCAACTGTTTGAAGAGAGGGAGAATTCTTGCATTCATTTTCCAATTTAACTTACAGATTTTATAATAACATCTGAAAAGTGTTAATAATTATTAGAAAGATTAACATTTTTTTTGTTTTTTTTTTACTTAAAACATGGTTTTGTCTACTGGACACTTATGCTTTTGTTAAACACTTCTAAATATAATTCTCCCTGGCTATTTTGAGAATATTGTTTAAGTAACATTGAAATGTAACCAGAATTACTAAAAGTATGCTAATGCTTTTCTTCAAGCAGTTACAATTCTGAATGGAGTGCAGAAAACATTAAGTGGTAATGGGAGGTGAAGGGATAGTCCACGAGTGATCACATCACACATGTCTTAACTGTCAATGTCTATAGCTTGCCAAACTGAAATACGCATGAAATTCTTTTGTAAAGCGTCAAGTACCATACTAACATTGCAGCTCTTTTTCAGTCCTAACTAAAATGCAATAGATTAAAGACCGATAATATACACTTAAGTGACATTTTTAATGTGTAAAGTTTGCCTCTGTTGACTATTTTGACCAAGGTTGATACTTTGAGCCACTTTAGAACTTAGCTTCTCATTGATGATATGTAAATGATACAAATCCTTTCATTGTAAGAAAATTTTGATTATTTCAAATTAAATATATTAAATGCTTTTATATTTATTGTATTGTACTTACTTCTATAATGAGATCACTAACTTTTCTTGTTTTCTAAGAAAATATTGAAACTTAAGTTTTAAATTCTTTGCTTGATGATCTTAGACAAGTTCCTTAACTTCTCTTCTTTTCAGTCTCCAATCTGAAAATTAGAACCAAGTGTATATCCATTTCACAGGGTGATAGAAAACGTATAGAACATTAAAGATTGCCTGACATAGTATATTTATCTACTTTTAAAAATCATCACTAGGCACCTCATTAATTTATATCTCTATCATGGAAAATTTACAGAATTATTGCTTTGTAGATATTTTAAATTATTTTATCTTAAGCATGTCTTAATTCTTACGAAAGAATAACTTTTACTTGATGTTTAGTAATTACATTACTAGATCAAAAAAACAAAAGCCATAATATGTTAATAGACCACAGCTGGCATAGGTCTACACCATCACAGAACTACATACAGTTAGGGTTAATGATTTTTATCTTCTGTTAGCTTCTGTCAGGATCTCTAATAATAGGTTATTCTACCGCTCTTTCACTAGAAAAAATAAACTGGAAAGGACACAAAACAGAGTAAAAACAATTCTAGTTTGTATTTAGATGAGCAGTTTAGGATCATTCCTTTGTAGTTATTGGATCTATGGCACTGAGCAATCATTATCTTTATGTCCTTTTTCAGGGATTTTTCAACAGTCTATTGAGGAAGTCAAAGGACCTTCCTAGTCATTTATCATGCATTGATGTTACTTTCATCTGTGAACATATGGACTCGATTACTTTCATTAGAAAAACAAAATTGCAGAATTTAAACTGTTGTATTCCTACAAGACAGTTTCTTACAAAGGAATGAACACATACAAAATATTTTTCAGTTTTTATATCTCAAAGTATAACATGAGAATGTATTTTATACATTATTCTTAATACACATGGTAGAGAATAGAAGCAGCTCTATTTTTCATTTCCCTAAATAAAAAAGAAAAAGTTATAATTATATCTGAATTTCTTCACATATAAGCATATTGGGCTAAGCAAAAGGGAAGGCAGCCCAACCTCAGGACAAGAAACATTGACAAGTTTTTGTACATGAAATGAGATTGGTGGACAATTTTGTCTGCCACTTTTAAGACAAAAAAAAAAAATAAATCTTAAAAATTGTCAAATTTTGTCCAGCTATTTGAAATAATTCAAATAGAACCTTCAACACCAGAAAGTTAAGAAACCAGTGTTTGTAATATTTCTTGAAAAATATTATCTGGATAAAAATGGAAGGACTTTGTATTCTCTTTGAAGCTCATGAATTTAAATTTCACATGTTTCATTTACTGACTTAAAATTAATTTATTAACTACTTTGTGGCCTGGAAAGAAGACAGACATTTCCCATGATTTGGGTAAAAAGTTTCCTAAAACATGACATGTGCAATGATAAAATATTAACTGAAAAACAAGTAGAACCAAATAAATGTTTCACAAGTTTTAATGTTATGTATGAACAAAATTATCCTTTAAAATCCTGCAAGTCACCCTGAAACTGATTTTGAACATTTTGCATATACATACAATTATTATTTTTTATGTATGATCTGTCTTTATAAATGTATTATTTGCATGAATTAATTTTATACATATTACATTTTTTACCCACACAGCCTCATAAGTCTATTGTTATTAGTTTCATTTGTCAATAAGGCTAAGCTGCAATGGCAACTGGACCAAGGTTACCAAGTAGAAAGTTGCAGAATCAAAGTCTATTAAATAAGTAATTACTAAGGGGAAAAAAAATCCACATCTTTATAATCCACACTGGGCAAATCAAATGTTACTGATTTAATTTAAAATATCTAAGTCAGTATTCCAACAGTGAATGAAACATTCTCTCTCTCTCTCTGTTTCTCTGTACCCTAAAAAGACAAAAATACAAATTAAATTCACCTCAAAGAAAAATTTTTTTTTAAAATGCCATGCTTTAAGGGATTAAAAACAAAGAATAATAAAATCTCGTTGAATAATGGAAGGTATGGAATACAGCTATCATACACCCAGAAGTAAGGGTGTGTCCTTTCTCTAAACAAGAGCATCTAGAAAACCTTATTTTGATAATAAATTGGCCAGTGCCAAAAGACTTAGTTCCGAAGTTCTCAAAGTGTGGTCCCGGAACCAGAACATCAGCATCACCTGGAAACTCATTAGAAATGTCAGTACTCTGGCTCCTCCCCAAACCTACTGAATCAAAAACTCTGAGGGTAGGGCCCACTAGTCTGATTTAACAAGCCATGCAGGTGAGTTTTATATACTAAAGTGTTTGAGAACCTTTGGCTTACTGAGACTATGTATTTTATTTTCTCCCCTCACGTGTGGGTGAAACCAGGCTTCACCCCTGAATCTGCAACCTTGGACAAGTTTCTCCACAAAGTTACTCTGAGATCAAGATCTCAACTGTACATCCTGGAGACAACACAATACAAGGGAATAAAATATTATACAACTGTCAGAGATACTGTGGAGTTCAAATTAGATGATATAGAATGACACTAAGGAAAATACATTGTGAAATTTGACGAGATTCTGAACTCAAAAGGAGATGCTGCTCTATTCATTTCAGAGCAACTCATAACAAAAGTGTTTCGCAGGGCGCAGTGGCTCACGCCTGTAATCCCAACACTTTGGGAGGCCGAGGCGGGCGGATCCCGAGGTCAGGAAATCGCGACCATCCTGGCTAACGCGGTGAAACTCCGTCTCTACTAAAAAAAATACAAAACTATTAGCCGGGCGTGGTGGTGGGCGCCTGTAGTCCCAGCTACTGGGTAGGCTGAGGCAGGAGAATGGCCTAAACCCGGGAGGCGGAGATTGCAGTGAGCTGAGATCACGCCACTGCACTCCAGCCTGGGCGACAGGGCCAGACTCCGTCTCAAAAAACAAAAAGTTTTCCAACTTAGCTAGGTTTTCGGCACTAACTAATCACACCTCAATCTCACTTTTATTGTTGCTCTTCTTGTTTTTGTAACTGGCACCTGGAGCAGGTCAGTCCCATTCCTCATTTTACAGGGACACCTTCGATGCCACATTCTTTTTGCCTTCCGGTAAGGTTTTTTGGGGTTTTTTTTTGTTTGTTTGTTTGTTTTAGTGTGTTAGCCATTTAGGGGGAGGGAGGATAAGAAATAAAGGGATAGTATTAGAGCGTGAATAAATTTTTTTTTGTAAATATGTTTTAGTGCTTCTTCAAGATTTCTAAAATAATCTACATTATGGATTCACTCTATCATTGTAAGCCTTACTAGGATTCCTGAATTTTGACATATATTTATTTTTTCTCCTGACTGAAGGTTTGAATGACAAGAATGCTGTCATGTTTTCTATATTTTCCACAAGATAGAATAAAATACCCATCAACTCTCCTTACACATATACTTTTAAATAAATTATTTAAACTACTCATATCTCCAATGGCTAATTTGGGATGATACAGTAATGCACATGTTTTTAAATATATATCAAGAGCATATTAAGCAATTCCACAGCACAGATGAATAATATTGTTACCAATGAAAATGATGCTGTATCCTAAAACAAATAGCCAATATTCGACATAATAAAGCAAATATCCTTTTACCTTTACTATCAGTTTGGGGGCTGTTAAATTATTGAGGAAGTGGCAAGTAAATTTTTCTTTTTATCTTTTCTGAAAATAAAATAATCAGGTTATGTTCCAGGTCGGTATACAAAGAGCTTTTCTAATTTATGTATACATTTTTAAAATAAAGTATAATAGAGCAAACAGCTCACCAGCATTTAGAACTGTCCTGATAACAGAATGCCAGGGCTTGGGCTTGAGTTTTGTGTAAAAAGATTGTAGGTGCTAAATCATCTCTATTTCTCATATCATGATTAATTCTCCAGAGAATTATAGCAGGTACACAAATTAGAACAGCTCTTTGACTCTTACTTTCAAATCTGAAAAAGAAAATGCGTATTGTTTTGCAATATAACTTTTGAATTAATGTGTTGTTAATTTATATTATTATTCTGATCTAATATTTAGGTATTATATATTTGAAATAAATAGACAAGCCACCATCATATTAAGCATGACATGAGGTACCCGGCATGTTCTGAGTTATGTGTACAGGTAATTAGTTCTAACTCAAAGTAATGTTCTCATAAATAGGGAACAAATATTACCAAATTCATTAATTAGTCATGCTTATACTTCTGTCATTTGGAATAATGTGTTTGTTTGAACTAAGGTTTCCTATTTATTAGAGTCATTAATGACTGTCGGTAAGATACGGTGCTCTAACATTTCACCAATATTTGAGAAATGCACAGGTATTGCATTTCTTAACAGGGGACTAGTCTTATTTTATATTTTTATGAAATGACAACCATAGTATTAAATTCTCTTGGTCTATTTCTGCTACTTTCCTTTATTTCATTCATCCTACTCTGCTTCCTTCCTCTACCATTTTTATTTTTATAACATGTATATCATCATATCATAATTACTTGTTTGCATTTCTGCCTTCCTCCAGTAAAGCACATGAATCATTCTGCTTCTCATAAGCTTCCTCATTTGTTGTTTAATGAATTTCAACACTCACTTATACACATATATTTCAATAAAATTTTCAAATGAACTATTTTAACTAAATTAAAATATTTTGGCTGTTAATATACATATGCAGTGATTCTTCTATGAATATATGCCACATACATTACTTTGCATTATATATCTAAATGCAAACACAAGGACTATTGTATTAGTCCTTTTTCATGCTGCTGATAAAGACATACCCAAGACTGGGTAATTTATAAAGAAAAAGAGTTTTAATGGAGTCACAGTTCCACGTGGCTGGGGAGGCCTCACAATCATGTTGGAAGGTGAAAGGCACATCTTACACGGTGGCAGCCAAGAGAGACTGAAAACCAAGTGAAAAGGGAAATCCTTTATAAAACCATCAAATCTTGAAAACAGTATGGGGGAAACCATCCCCATGATTCAATTAGCTCCCACTGGGTCCCTCCCACAACCCATGGGAATTATGGGAGCTACAATTCAAGATGAGATTTGGGTGGGGACACAGAGTCAAACCATATCAACCATAATTATGAATGAGAATGTTTTCAAAATCTG